ACTTTTTTACAATTTTGGTAATTTAAAGGTCTTTATTTGCCATTTTTCCTATATCATTTTTTATTTTTTATATGACTATCTAACTATTATTGTCATGTTTAAATAAGAATAATTTTTTCCACACAAACTTAAAATTTGAAGCCTCACATTTAAACTGCAAAAGCTCCTTTCACTAACCTGCTGATGATTAGTGAATACGAGCACCCTTGTTATTATTTTGGATTTGTTGTTCTAATTATCAATATTATTTATCTTTTAATCCTGTAATTTAAGAAGAACTTAATTACCAAGATGTTCCAATAACAAGTGAGTATCATAAATTAGTTGTCAAACTTGTCATTGTGTATTCTTCGGATGTCAACAAATTTTAGAATAATTAAATCCCTTCCCTGAAATCTTATTGCAATTCCTCTTTAATTTTAAATGAAAAATTTTACCTAAAAAATAATAAAACGGAAACCTTTGGGCTTATGTAAAAAATAACACCACAATGATGATGTTACTACCTCCGGTCCTTAATATAAGACTTCGTTTGACTTTTATATTGATCCTAAATATAAGACCTCAATCTACTTTATCTCCCTTATTTATCCATTTTTTCTTAAGTTAATCCTTATAATAATGATAGTTTTAATCAATACACTTGATTAGCAAGGATATTTTAAGATATACAATACCTATTTATTACAAATAACTAACTTAATTGGTTTTCTTAATCTACTCAAATTAGTCAAGTAATTTTTATACTAAGGACTAGAGGTAATATTTTTTATCAATAGATTAGTTGAGGGTTATTATGCAACTAATAAAATAAAATACTAATTAAATATGAGAATAGTTTACTTCAAGAAATACAATGATCTTAGTTGATTGATTATTATGGTAAAAAAAAAGTTGATTGATTATTAAAATAGTAAGATAACGTTAAAAAAATTAATTATTAAAATATTAAAATATTTCATTTTTCATTGCATAAAAAGGTTAAAAAAATTTTATTCTCAATTCTCATCTTAGCATTTTTGGTTAAAAAAATCTCCCTGGTCAAAATTATGTATGTGTATTTAAATGATAGTATTCTAATTTCAACATTCAACAATCTTCATATATACAAATGCAAATGCATTCATTTATAATATGATTAATTCCAAATAATGATCCAATGCCTTCCTTCATGAACACATTCAATGTATCACTATGCAAAGTATTGCCACTAATATTCAAATTAATGTTTATTATATGTGTGTGCATGTTAGCTTGACAAACAATGCTTGCTAGCCAGATCCAAATACTGTATGTCACAAGATGCACTTAGGTGCCATCAAACCAAAAGGCCTTCTCAGATCAAAAAAAAAAACCAAAAGGCCTTTGACGCATTCATTATATATTAGAAGACATAGTAACACAAAACAATATGGATATTTGTGTATGCATTCACTTTCATGAGTGTAGGATACTTGTTTGGAATTCACTTCTTCTCCTTATTATTATTTTAGCAGAATGATTAGTTAATACTACCTTCGGTCCTAATTATAAGAGCTAGTTGACTAATTTGAAGAGATTAAGGAAGTAAGTTGAGATAGTTATTTGTCCTAAATAGGTGTTATTTTTCTTAAAATATCCTTATTAATCAAGTGTATTAACTAGAACTATTATTGTTAGAAGGGCTACTTTGGAAAAAAAATGTATAAATATGAGAGACAAAGTGGATTGGGGTATTATATTTAGGATCAAAATAAAAGTCAAATAGAGTCTTATATTAAGGACTGGAGGTAGTAACACTTGATTATCTCATTCATTTTCATCATTCACAAAGTACAAAAACTTCGTTATTAATTATTATTCATTTCATTTTTGGCTCCATGATTAATTATAACATAAGTTTGTTTTATTTAAGTACTAAGATAAGATAGTTTGAACTCGATTCAAACCAAAAAAGATAGTATGAATTCAAACATCATTTATACTTCAATTCAATTTCATTATTTTGAAGCGCGCTAAAATGTTTTTTTTTGTCTCTTTAGTTTGATATTTTTCAGAGAATTATTTAAAAATATTCTTCTAAAAAATATACTTATTTTTAGTATTTTAATAAAGCTTATTAAGATTTAAAGTTTAATTTATATATTATCCAATTTTTTATAAAATTACAATGCAATATTAATTCTATTAAAAACATGCATATGAAATAATAATTAATTGATTTCATTTTAAAAAACATCATAGTCCAACCCCCACAACTTGTGAAGCCACTTAAACTGATCCTGATTCAAGTCTCGTTGCTCCAATAAATGTTTAAGGGGTAAATGATCGGTCTTGATAATGAATTTACAGCTGCACAAGTAAGACCTCCACTGTCGCACAGCAAAAATAATAGCTAATAATTCATGCTCATAGGCAGGTAGAGGTTTCTTCTTAGAAACTAAGGCCTTACTAGCAAAAGCCACTGGATCGCCATTCTGTGAAAGGACAGCTCCCAACCTTGTACCCGATGCATCAATTTCAACAGTGAAGGGTTGCTGGAAATTGGGAAGTGCCAACACCGAAGGGGAAGTCATAAGCTTTTTTAACGAAACAAAAGCCTCATTTGCGGCAGCAAACCACTAGAATGGTGTATCCTTCCTTAGCAAATCTGAGAGTGGTTTGCTGATTAGACCATAATTGCGGATGAATCGTCGATAATACCCTGTGAGGCCTTAAAACCCACGTAGCTCCTTAAGATTAGTTGGAACAGGCCAACCAGCCACTGCTTCAAGTTTCTGTGGATCATCTTGGACACCCTGCGCAGAAATAATATGGCCCAAATAATCAATTTGAGTGGCAGCGAAAATGCACTTAGAGAGCTTTGCAAATAATTTATGATGTCTTAGTGTAGATAAAGCCAAATCCAAGTGTCGCATGTGGAAACCCCAATTTTTGCTGTAGACTAAAATGTCATCGAAGAAAACTAAGATAAATTTCTGTAGGAATGCCTTGAAGATGTAGTTCATAAGGCCATGAAAAGTTGCTAGAGCATTTGTAAGCCCAAAGGGCATCACACACAAAATTCATAAAGACCCTCATGTGTCCAGAAGGCTGTTTTGGAAATATCCACCAATTTCATTCTTATTTGATGGTTGCCCGATTGTAAATCCAACTTAGAAAAGAAAACAGCACCAGTGAGATCATCCAAAAGTTCTTCAATCACTGGTATGGGGAATTTGTTCTTAACAATAGCTTCATTCAACCTCCGGTAATCAACACAAAAACGCCAAGCACCTTCTTTCTTTTAAACTAAGACAACAAGGGCGGCAAAAGAGCTAGAACTCTCTCGTATAATTCTGTTCTAAAGCATCTCATGAACTTGTCTTTCTATCTCTGTCTTTTGAACTGGCTCATATTGGTAAGGTCTACAGCTGATAGGTTTATCATATTCATGCAGAAGAGGTATCGCATGATCAAAAGGTTTGGAAGGGGGTAATTATGTCGGTTCTGTAAAAATATTAGCATAGGTGTCTAATAACTTACGCAACTCTTACTGATGCCCTGATGGAAGAGAAGCATTATTTTTTATTCCCACTTGCCAGGAAGAGGAAGCATTTATAAGAAACACGACAGCAGCCGCAAAAAACTCATGGTTTGAAGAGAGCTCAGTCAGATTCGGTGAGGGTAAATACCCCATGCCGTGTAACTCGACCCTTTTCCCATTGTAAGTAAATTCGAACAGCCGTAATTCGATATCCATAGTAAACCGCCCCATGGTTCTCAACCATTGAGTCCCCAAAATCATATCATACCCCCCAATTTTCATCACCAAAAAGTCAGCAGAGAAGGTAGAATTTCCCATGTCCCAAGACAGATTATGACAATATTTAGAGACCATTACCTGGCGAGCATCAGCTACTGTGAGTTGAATAGCATTCCATTCTTAGGGCTTCAATTGAAGGAGTTTAGCTACGGACGTGTGCAACACATTGTGCGTACTTCCAGTGTCCACTAAAACAATCACCTTCTGATTCTTAATCTGACCCATAAGTTTAAGCGTGGGAGCCTTGTCATCCCCCTCGATGGCGTTAATGGTTCCGACAGCATCCACTTGAGCGACCCTAATCGCGTCCTCAAAGTGTTCATCATCCTCGTCAATCGCCAGAGTGAACACATGGGATTCCTTACAGCGGTGGCCAGCAGAGAACTTCTCAGGACACCAATAACATAATCCCTTCCTTCGACGTTCATCCATTTCTTTTTTGGAAAGCTGGCGCGTAGGCTTGGAAGAACCAGTCGTGCTACGGGTAGGAGACGGTGAAGCAGCTGCCGAAACGGTGGACTGAGGCACAGATTGGCCCATAGTTCTATCCTTCAGATGTGCTGTAACATTTGGGATTGGGCTCGGTCTAGGACCCACTAGAGACACCGATGGAGGTCCAGAAGAATAGCCCCCCATTGGAGACCCCGAACAGTGATAGGACGCCGGCGTATTCTCATGGAGTGCGGTAATGGTGGATTCCTGTAATCGGGCCGTAGACATCCCACTCACCAAGGATGCAGGAGCAAAGTTGAGAACAAACTTCTAGATATCAGGCCGAAGACCACCGATAAATAGGTTAATGGCAACAGGTTCAGGAATATCAACTTCAAAAAGGAGTTCATCAAACTTTTGTTCATACTCCAAAACAGGGTCCGAGAGCTGCTGAAGCTTCTTAAGAGTTATCAGAGGGTGTTCATCACGTACATTCACGAACTAAATCTCCATCTACTGAAAATACTCAGTCCAAGAAATATCCGTGAAGGAACGATGACGCATGAATGTTTGGTGCCATCGCAAAGCGTGGCCCTCAAGATGAATACTTAGGAGGCGGATACGCTGGTCAGCTGGGGAGCCATCGACATCAAAAAATTGACGAGCCCTACATGCCCACCCACGAAAATCGGATCCATCGAATTTGGGGAATTCAACTCTGCTCTGCTTTGTAGCAATCGAATAACCAGAAGAGGGACCCAAAGAATGTGGGGATACACGGGGAAGCTTGTGGTTGCGAAGACCCCTCGCCAGACACAGGTTGCTTACCGGCAGGAGAATGCAGACCCGAGAGTTTGGCCGAGATATCTTGCAACGTTACCTTGAGGTTGGCAATGTTCGACGACTGTTGCTCCATACGGACCGTAACAGAATTCAGGATGGTTTGTTGAAGGTCGAGACGACGCTCAATGTCTCCAAGACGCTCCGTCGAGGATCGCGTCTCCGGCGGTGCCATGGGCCAGAGAGCAAAGGCTCTGATACCTTTGATAAGTGTAAAAGGAGAAATAACAGAATATTCTTCACGAATCGCAATTCAGGCAGTACAAGGTATATAACCGAACCTCAAGACACGTCACACACTCATCCTCTCTCTTGTAACTAACTATTCGGTATTTACCTTTTTCCCGAAATATATGCGAACTGAGTCGATCACAATCACCCTGGCTCTGTGGTGGGGATTCTGCGTGAGCTTCATTTTGGAGAATATTTTCTCCAATTTCCGAGAATCTGAGAGACGAGAATGTCTCTCACACGCCCCATTGCAGCTCTGAATCTCACTTCAGCTTCAGGTTTTCATTTTCTTCCCCTTCTGCATGTCGTTCTATTTCTCTGCGTGTATTATGCCACCTTTACTTCTGGAGGAGGGAAGTTGAGTTTTTCCACTTGCTTTCCTTCTTATTTTCTGTTGATTCCAGATGCCCAGAATGTTCTAATGTTGTTATCTTTCATTTCATGTGCTCGGTGAAGTTTCAAAACTTAACAGGTTTTTTTTATCACTTTCTTTCACCAACTTTCCCAATCGAATATTCGAGGGGGTTTGCGACGCCCAGATTGCTTCTCTGCTGTTGTTTTTCTCTTTTCTGTTATAAATGTAGCATTTTCTTTTTTTGTTTATTTTTTTCCTTTGCTGTCTTTTCTGCCATCATCTTCTTCTGTATACTCACCGTCTTAGTGATCTGGGTGGGTTCTCTCTGTGTGATGTTGCCTTTTTGCCAGTATTTTCAAACCTCTTTCTGCATGATTGTTATCTGCAGTCAAGTCAATATTCCATAATTTAAAACAAGCACAGTAGTCGTGTTTCACTTTTAGCATGTCAAAATAATGGGGTCTCTTGTTCCAATACCTTTAATCAGAACGCTATATATTTCTTGTTTGAAGAGCAAACAGTCCATTATCTGAAGCTCGAGAGTTAGGAGCTAGGACAGACTCAGGCTCCGCTAAATCAAAGATCCAAATCTCAACGCCTCTTAATTACATTCCTTGCACGTTCTCCCTAATTTCAATTATAATGACCCTTTATTATAATGTCATTAAACATCTGTTAATTCCACATGCAAAGTAGAGCGGATTTCTTGGGTGAATGTCATTGACGGACTAATGTCTTGTTTTGTAGAGAGGAAGGGTTGGAAGGAATCTCTTTTCTTCCTTCCTTTTCATCTCTTTTTTTTTTTTTAATTTTCTTTATCTTTTATAATTACCTTTTTAAACCTTTTTTTTTTTTTTTGGGTGAGTTCAAGGAGTGATTCCTTACTCAAAAGAATTACAAAAATGACTATTTCTGTTCCCTTCTACTGTTCCATTTCATCATGCGCACCAAATGAGCCATACAAAAACGGAAACCATGATTATTTTCAAGTTTTTGAAATATCATTTCTGTTTCATTCTATTGTTCCATTGCATCATGGGTACCAAATGAGCTCCAATGCCCCATTTCATCATGTTTTCTATGCACATATAAATCAATGAATTCTTGTTTGAAAGCCTCATGTGATTTCTTTTCCAACAGCTTGTTTGTCAGTGGAATCAGATGTGAAGAAAAAGATGAACAGCAGTGCTTTGGTATGGCTTTCCTATTTTTAGCATATCTTTATCTGGATATATTTTAGTGAGAACTGAGGACTAACAAGGAAATGAAATTTGGCTTCTATTGCATGCAGTGCCTTGAGGGGACTAAAGAAAAAATCAAGAAGATGTTCAATAAGGTTGAACTTTCTATTTCTTCATATGATACGGCTTGGGTAGCAATGGTCCCTTCAATAAATTCTCCTGATGTCCCCTTTTTCCCTGAGTGCGTGAATTGGTTATTGGAGAATCAACTATTTGATGGTTCGTGGGGTCTTCCTGGTCATGATCCTTTGTTATTGAAAGATGCTCTCTTATCTACCTTCGCTTGTGTCCTTGCTCTGAAGCAATGGGGTGTTGGTGAACAGCAAACTACCAGAGGTAATTATGGCCTTCTGCATGTAGCTTGATTTCTTTGTTTGCTGTTATATTAATGCATTTTTCATTCTTTAAAAATAACAACACTTTTTTCGTTATTTTGTAGGTCTTCAATTTATTGAGTCAAACATTGCTTCAATCACTGATGAGAAGCAACACTGTCCTATCGGATTTGATATAATTTTCCCTTCTCTTCTTGAGTCAGCTCAAAGTTTAGGCGTATATCTTTCTCTTGGATCAACTAGTTTAGAAGGACTCATTCGCAAGAGAGAGTTGGAGCTGAGACAGTAATTTTCTGGTTCTCTTTGATTTTTATTTGAGATTTTGCCTATTTAGGTGTTATTTCTTGGATGCTTGAATAGTGCAGATTCCTTTCCACAAGCTACTGACCATGTTATAGTTGCTTAAGAGTCTAAGAGTAGGGAGACCTTGTTCAATTTACCGAAATGCACCAAAACGACCTACATGTGGTCTGTTTGTCTTGAATAGAGGCTATCAAAGCAATTCAGAAGGGCGGGGAGCATATCTAGCATATGTTGCAGAAGGTATCGGGAAAAGTCAGGACTGGCAAATGGTCATGAAGCATCAAAGGAAGAATGGATCTTTGTTTAACTCACCTGCCACAACAGCTGCAGTTTTTCAACACCTAAAGAATGATAACTGTCTTAATTACCTTCGATCAGTGTTAAAACAGTTTGGGGATGCTGGTTTGTATCACAGATTTATTTGTGATTCTTTTTTTTTTTATGCGACTGTGTGATTTCTTTTTAGTTACACTAATCATGTATTGACTGGACAATTTTACGAATTAACAGTTCCAACAGTTTATCCTCTGGACGTATATGCTCGTCTCTGTATGGTTGACAGTCTTGAGAGGTTAGGTATTGATCATCATTTCAGCAAGGAAATTCAAAGTGTATTAGATGAAACATACAGGTAGTAAAACATTTTTAAATTATGTGTAACATATCAATTATTGTAGATTATTAGACTAAGAAAAAAAAGTTCTTCTCCATATGAGATCAAAGTAGTGATATTCAGATACCACCAAACAGAAATGTTTTTTTACCATTGACACTGTTTTATGGTATGAGAACATGCAGATACTGGATTGATGGAGAAGAAGAGATATTCTTAGACCCCACTTGCTGTGCCCTGGCATTTCGCTTATTACGACTCCATGGATATGATGTTTCTTCAGGTTGTTTAATTTTTTGCCTGTTAGTTGTTTAGATGTGTTCTTAGTCAAATAAAGATGAGAAGTTCATCAATCCGTTATCTTTTGTAGATCCATTTAATCAATATTCGGAAGATAAATTCTCAAATTCCTTGAAAGGGTACTTGAAGGATGTTGGTGCTGTCTTAGAGCTATATAAAGCTTCACAAATCATGATACATCCAGGGGAAGAAGTTCTGGTGAAACAAAATGCCTGGACAAGAAATCTCTTGAAGCAGGAATTATCACCATACCAAGTACACGTTGAAAGGCTTTTTAGTCATGTTGAACAAGAGGTAGTTTCTTACAATAATCTTTTCTATAATCTGGTTCTATGTTTTTCTGCAACCTTATTGTACATGCTGAACACTGGTGTCTTTTTTAACATTAGGTCAATGATGAACTTAAATTTCCTCATCATAAGAAGTTGGACCGGTTGTTAAACAGGACATCAATAGAGCACTATAATTTGGAGGATACAAGGCTTTTAAAAACTTCATACAGGTGGGCTTCCACTATTTTCTTCAATTTTCTTAGCTTCCCTTTCTTTCACTCTCCATCCTGCGCTCAAATTAATATTGGTTGGCATTATCCAGGTCTTTCAATCTCGCAAACGAAGAATTTCTGAAGTTGGCAGCAGAAGACTTCAATATCTGCCAATCAATACATCGCAAAGAATTTAAACAACTTGCAAGGTATAAATCTTCTCTGTGTTTTTCAGATTTCAGTAATGTTTCACGGACTGGAATATCCTAAAAATTTTCTACATTGCAAAATTATGCATGGCTGGTGATTCTGGAATGTAAACCATAGCTTAGCTCCAAACTATCTTCCTGAATCTTGCTTTCTGCTTTGCTTCTTTTGTTCATACAACTAGTTGTGCCTGCTCCGATATTAACTAAGGCACATCTCTGATTGACTACAGCCCCTTTTTTGTCCTTAGAAGATGAGATCCACATATTAATTTGCTCTGTTGAAATATTACTCAAATTTGATTCCCATAGAATATTTAATTCACGAAACATTATGTCACAATCATTTGAGTACCTTCCCAAGGATGAAATTGCAACAGTATTAGATTTTTTGATACTAAAGTGATACCAAACATATGCAGGTGGGTAGTGGATAGCAAACTAGACAAGCTCGAATTTGCAAGGCAGAAATTAGGCTATTGTTACTTCACCAGCGCAGCAACATTGTTCTACCCTGAGCTTTCTGATGCCCGCATAGCATGGGCAAAAAATGGGGTGCTCGCAACAGTTGTCGATGATTTCTTTGATGTTGGTGGTTCTGAAGAGGAGTTAGTGCAACTAATTCAGCTGGTTGAGAGGTATTTTCATATATAAACTAAAAAGCTTGTCATTTCATTATTTCGCCTCGTTTGCTCCTAGAGCTTCTCTTCACACAATCATGTTATGAAAATTTAACTGCAGATGGGATGTAGATCTCAGTGATGTTTCTTGTTCTGAGTCAGTCAAGATAATATTTTCTGCAGCTCGGGACACAATTTTTGAGATTGGGGAGAATTCATTGAAGTGGCAAGATCGTAATGTAAAAGACCATGTTAAAAAAATGGTGAGACAAATCTTCACCTTTCTGAGGATATATTTTACTGTTCTTTTAATAATACCAAGTGTTGGCATCTTTTACATCTTAATACCACCCAATTGGATGTTTCAACTTGCAAGAATGTTTTCTTGAAATTCGGCCCATAAATAGAACATTTTGAAACTGAATAATTTTCATGCATAGTCCTTTTTTCTTCTGAATGTTAGAAACCATAATTTGCTACCTTTCCTCTAAATTTGCATTCAGGTTTAATGATCAACTTGTTTGCTTTGCAGTGGTTGGATTTGATGCGATCTATGTTGAAGGAAGCTCAGTGGTCGAAAACACAGTATGTTCCGACAACTGATGAATATATGGCAAATGCATATGTATCTCTCGCCTTGGGATCAATTGTGCTGCCAACACTCTATCTCGTGGGGCCTAAGCTTCCAACTGATTTGGCTGAAAATCCTGAATACCATCGACTGTATGAGCTAATGAGCACTTCTGGGCGTCTCCTTAATGATTTTAATAGCTACAAGGTATATCCTCCCATTTCTGTCCTCTCTGCCTTTGCTGCCTAAGCATCTTCTCAATTTTAAGTGGGAAAATGACGATCAGTTAGAACTGGTTAGCCTATCCGAACAGTACGAAACAACAAACTCATTAAGCATATTTATCTGCTATGAAAAGAAAGATTTAAACGGTCCTAAGTAGGAATTTTCTCAAAATGATTTTTTTTTCCCAATTAAGTGGAGAAAATTTGGACTTGCTTTGCCTGTCTTCTGCGAGAGATATTCATAAAACTAATCATAGCTTATCACGTGGCGTCAAATAGTCAAAGCCTGTGGCTAAGATATGTAGTTCGATTCCCGTTGATCCTAAAGGAGATGTTAATAAAATCAATCATTGCTTTCACTTCTGAGTTCAAATTAGAGTTGCAATGGTTTCAGAGTTTTGAAAGTGTCTGATGTTTTCTGTCTATCTTGCAGAGGGAATCTGCACAAGGGAAATTGAATGCATTCACTTTGCGAATTGCTCAAAGGGGTGGGGACGTTACTGAAGAAGATCTGATTCAGGAGATGAAGGATATCATTGAGGAAAACAGAAGAGAGCTCCTAAGACTGGTTTTGCAGGAAGAAGGTAGCACAATTCCAAGAGCTTGCAAGAATCTGTTTTGGAACATGGCAAAAGTTTTGTATCTCTTCTACTTGAAGGACGATGGGTACACGTCACATGAGTTATTATCTGCTGTAAGTGACGTGCTCGAAAAACCGGTCGTCCTCCATGAATTTTCAAAGGACGCAGCTAAGGAAAACTTGAATCCTGTGTCAACTTAGGAACGACGGTGGTGATGTCTCAGTTCATCTGATTTTGGGAGGCCCCCTTGTGAATAAATCGATCTCATTTAATTGCTTTCTTACATAAATATTTCATCATATGTGTGTCCTACGCTTGGCAAATGATCATGTTCCCCAAGTCACATCTTTCAGAATTGAAATTTTTACCTTGTGAATGTTTCTAATTATTGGAGAACAGATGCTATCATCTCCAAATAATTCCAGTGAATACTTTCCATTGGGAAAAAAAGAAGAAATTCTTGACAATGATAAAAACCACTAATTTGACATAGAGCCATTTAATAGAAAAAAATTGAGAATGCATTCGAGCACGCAAGTAGTTCCGAGAGCGGGGGACAATTATCCAAATAACTGAGATGACTTCTACTCAATTTCGAAGCTCAATAAAAAAATATATCATCTCTTGCAGCCCTTTCAACAATACATTCCAACTGGATGCAACGAATTTTCTGCAAGTACTGCAGAGATGAAAACATTAAATCATCATTCAAATATTAAATCGACAACATTAAGCTTGACTCTACAAGACAATCATAAATATAATTGATGGTAAAGAGTTCTTATTAATAAAATGAGGGTGGAATCTTTTCCTTTGCAAATCCAATATCGTCCCTCCCGAATTTCACTATTCATACAAACATTTTTGTCACTTGACTTCATCCACAGCTTTCAGAGAAAGCTACATAGTTTCATACTTTCATACCCATCAAAAATATTTCTTTTCATAAGAAACCAACCCATGAACTCCACCTTCCACCTGTGCTGCTCCAGTTCGGACCTGGAAAAGAGAGAACCAAATAATTTACAACATAAACTACTAGGGTGTGTTTGGATAGAAACCAAACCATGGTTTCAGAAGTGTTTTTACGGATTACGAAGTAAATATGTGGAGGAGATTATCTCGTTTTGCGGAAAAGTGCTTCTGAAACCACGGTTTGGGGATACCCAAACAGGCCCGAACTCAAGTATATCAGCATGTACAAAAAGAAATTTGGGATTCTAAGCTTTGCAAATTGCAGCATAGGAATACAAAAAGGGAGTTGCCATCTACTTTATTGGATTCAGTGCTGGAATAAGGTATTGATCCCAACTTCTTGAGATAACACTTAAGCAAGAATCAACATCTTCTCCAATAGGCAGAATAGACAGGATAAGGAACGTAAAAAATGCCAACACAACAAATTTCAGAAAAGGAGAAGCCATTATAAATCTATCCTAATTTATCTATATTGTAACCCTTTTTTCTTGAGATAACACTTATTCAGCTCAATGTTACAGTAACTTTAAAAAAAAAAGGCACTACGGAATTTTAGAATCTGCCCTTCTCCATGAAAACTAGTAAGTTATTGATGAATGCATGTTCAAAAAATGAGCTATCTTGATTTTGAAAATGCTTCAGCTTTGTTAATAAAAATTCAACAAGACATCTAATTGTGCGCTGATCATTCATACCTCTAGCCTTAACACCTTAGATCTTAGAAGATCATGAGCAGCCTGCAGAGAGGAGGCACCAAGATCTTGAAACCCTTGCTTAACTGCTTGCAGGGTGTATGGTACGAACTTCAAGACAGAACCCTTATCTTTAACTGCTCCAACAACCCCCTGAGCAATTTTTAGCTTTGCAGTATCGCCCAAGTATCTTGCATCACTACCTTTTGTCATAGCTTCTAAAGAGCCCATTCCTCGATACTTTTTGACACGTACACCATTCTGTTACAATGAAAATAGCTGTTTAAATTACTAGAATCTTAAATCTCCATTTCACATGAACAAGTCTTCAAGCCAGAGAAAGAAGTAAAACAATCAGCACAAGAAAAACAAGGTCAATTATGAAAGCCACTGCAAAATTATTAGACAGCAAATAGGAGAGCAGGGGAAATAAAAGAAGATATAAACAATTTAATTAGATGTAACAACATGTTGTCACTCACAAATGTACGAGTGTTTATGTACATTTTTTATTGGGGTGTGTTCACAACAGGTACGTGCTTTCACCAAAATCATAGTTTTGGTTGTTTTCAACATGAAACCAAAATCGCACTAAATCAATGCATGAAAGGCTAATTTTCTTAGATAACAGCAATATTGTACCACAAAATTATCATTACTATGTTGTTTGTTTTTTCCTTTCCTTTGAAAGTTCTCCGTGTTTATATCTCACAAGTGAACTATGTTTTCAACTTAGAATCACACTGGATATCTCTATTAAAAAGATGTTTCTAATCGCCACATGATTCTCACGCCAAGGAAAAAAAACACTCGATCCTAATAAAGACAAAACTAACACAGCCTTCATTGTCACTCCATCCCTAAAGATGGCATAAGTTGCCACTGAATACACAGTTTATCAAAACCCAATAACTTATGGCATAAGCAAAGTTGAAAGGTCCATATATATATATACACGCACACAGACACAGTCGTTTAATCATGTTAGTGGTGACTTCTCTCACAACAGTACAGACATGTTCAATGCGTTATTTTATTAGATTTCAATACCCGATACTCGTAAGCACCAGGAGCTTCAGTGCTCCCCGCCAAGAAGCTTCCCATCATCACAGTAGATGCTCCAAGCGTTAAGGCTTTAACAATATGACCAGAGTTTGAGATGCCACCATCAGCAATAACAGGAACACCACTTTTATAAGCAATCGATGAGACCTTGTAAACAGCTGTTGCCTGACAAACAAGTAAAACAAAATCAAAAGTTTCAGATTTCCATCATTCAGAAATTAGTTAAGAGTGACAGAAATAATAAAAAAAAAAAAAAAAAAAGTGGACAATTTGAGTTCTAATTATGATTCATACCTGTCCTCGCCCTACTGCACAAACCTCTTGAGTCGTACATATAGATCCAGACCCCATACCAACTCGCACTCCATCAACACCAGCTTGAATCAAATTGTCAGCTTGGTACATAGTAACGACATTCCCGCCTACAACATCTAATTCTGGATACTTATTTTTTATGTATTTTATCATCTCCAACTGGTAGATAGAGTTCCCTTGAGAGCTGTCCAAGACTACTACATTCACTCCAGCCTTCAGTAGGTATTCTAATCTTTCTTTGTCACTTTCCCTTGTGCCAATTGACGCACCAACCAGCCACTTCCCATCCGCCCCCACAGAACCTGCTGCCAGTTTAGGATACCCTCTAATCCTTTCAACATCCTCCTTCGTCACCAAATCCAACACCTCGTCGTTGTTCATCAAAGGCACGAAATTTGACTTCTTCTCCTCCATAAACGCATGGATTTGTCCTAAATCAAAGCTCGACGGTACTGAATCCGACGAGTTCACCATATAGTCATATATCTTCACCTCTTTATCGTTTAGTTTCCGCCAATCCAACTTCGAGACATAACCCAAAAGCTTAGATGTCGAAGTGCCCGACTCAGTCACCAAAACATACGGTGAGTCGCCAAAATCATCAAGCGACTCAATCCTCCCAGAGGGTGCTTTGAAGACAGGGCTGGAGAGAATCGGCACTCGACGCGACTTAGCGGAACGTACCATGGCAGCCTGATCGGACGGCGTCGTATTAGAGTGGATAAAAGCGATCCCACCAAGGGCAGCCATGGCGACGGCCATGTGGGCTTCGGAGACGGTGTCCATTGGAGAAGCGACACAGGGGATATTTAGAGGCACATTACGACTGACTCTGGTAGCAAGCTGAACGGCATCAGTAGGGAAGTCAATGTAGTGAGGCAGGAAAATGACGTCGTCATAAGTGTAGGAGTAACCCTGGCAGAAGAGCTTCTCGGCAGTGAAGCCGTCGTCAAACGGAGGCGGTGTGTAGTCCATTATCGGCGCCAGCAGTATGCTGTGGTGAGGGTTCAACAAAGGGGACAAAGAGTGACTTCGTTTTTTGTTGTTTATCAAATAGAGCGACTTCACTGCACGAAACAAGAAGAAACAGACAAGGAGAGAGTGCGAGAGAGCTGTGAAGATTGGAAAGATGAACAGAAGGGGATAAGGAAGGAGGTAGGGAAAGCTTGAAGCCTGCCTGCAGGAGATTCGATGAAAGCAGGAGAGAATGGGGAACAGGGTAGAGGAGAGACGGCCGACTTCCCGACGCACTGTGGACTGAAACTGGAAGAGGAGGCTGAAGATTAGCCTAACAGGCTTCGCTTTGACCCCACACTAAACGCAAAGCATCATGAAATATTAAAAGAAAATAATATATCGGGCTAACCGGCTAAGGTTCACCCAATACCTCAAATTATTTTCTCAGATACATCATTACATTCATATCTCAAGCTAACATAAAAATTAAATTTGACTGTTATCTTACTGACTCAATCGAAGGTTGATCGAAAAATCCTACATGGTGAACATGCAGGTGTATGAGAGCTGCACACCCCAAGTATTTTCTTGAGCAGCATCTTAAAGTTTTGTCGTATAAAATACTCTTTCGATTCTTAATATAAAACCTATTTAATTAATTTAATTAAATTAAAAAAAGCTAAATAACTTAGTTAATTATAAGAAATATGATTTTTTTAAGGCACTATAATCATTTTTCTTAATATCTTCTCCCATCTTCTACTTGATTATGGTTGAGGAAAGATTCATAGGGATAATTTAGAAAAAAATTAATAAATATGAAAAACAAGTCTTATATTTAGGATCAAAATCAACTCAATAATTAAATTCTATATTAAAGATCAGAGGAGTATTTTTTAACTATGTTTAATAACTTGAAATATTTTTTTGATACATCTAGTACTCTAAAATATTTTTTTAAGTACATCTAATACTCAAAAATATTTTTTGGTGTTTCCAGCACTAAGATAAAAAAAAATACTTCACGAATTTTTTAGAATGTTGGATATGTCATAAAATACTTTAGGATCTACCCATCCAAAAATATATATTTGGATATTGGTTCCACCTTAATCCTCTATCTAAAATAGCCAAAAACCAAATTCAAGTAAATGCCCAAATGACAAATTAATATAATGAAACCAAAAAGAAATGAACAAACAAAATAAACAGGATCCTTTTGATTCTTTTTCATAAGAAGACAGCTTTTTTTAAAAAAAATAAAAAATAAAATGACAAATAATTACTGGGCTTCTATTATTAAGTACAAACTCAAAACTGCTGTAAATTACAGAAACCCAAGCCTCACGAAACAGAGCCAACAAAGAAATAAATAACAAAAGAACAAACAGGATTCCTTTTGAGTTTTGATTCTTCAAATCTCGCTCTCCGTGCATAGATCCATGATTGAGATTGGGATCTTCCACAAGCGGTGCTAATACATGTTGGCAGTGCGGATACGGGCCAGCTCGAGAGCTACGAGTTCAAAGCAGTGCGGACTGAAGTAGCCCGCGTCTTGGCATACCAGCCCGAGCCTACCTACATATTCTTTTTTTTTAAAAAAATAAAAATTATTATTATTAATATAGGTTGAGCTTAATTTAAAATGTTAAAATTAGGCTTTAAATCTTGAATTTGAGTAGTAAGTTATGATAAAATAAAGGAAAGATTAAGTTATAATTTAAGAATATATTTTAAAAACTAATAGATTTTTTTATAAATAATTAATTTAACTATTTTTTTTATTCAAAGTAATTTAGTTTTCTTATCCAAATTAATTAAGTAGATATTTTATGTATAAATGTATAAGTATCACTTGTTTATTTAATTTTATAAAGGCTTTTATAATGACACAACAAATAAATAAAAAATAAAAGATGGATGATGATCTTCGTATAACTACACACAGAATCACAAATATATAAAGTGTTTAATTACTTATACAATGATATGAAAGAAGTAATGTTTAATTGTTCATGTAGAATTTAAAGGTCAAAATATTTTAACTATATTAGAAGTTATATAAACAATTAAAAAAAAAAAAAAGCAGGCCCACCCACCAACCCGCAAGCTAACCCGCAGCGAAATGAGCTCAAAACAGTGCAGGCTGGAATAGCCCGCACCTTGACGGTCTGGCATATTGCCAACCCGAGCCCGCCTTTTTTTGCGGGCTCGCGGGCCCAACCCGTATTACCAGCTCTATCTTCCAATATTCAAATATAACTTTTCTTGATTTTAGCATATTTGATTAAATATTTGAGATCTCAAAAATGTGCTAAATGAGTTATTTTTCGTTCAAACAAGTTCTTTCTCAATATAAATAAATATCCAAACAATCATTCAACAATTCATTCTCCATGCTTTTTTCGCTTTTGGTTCTTGATGAAGTTCAAAGCGAAGAAAACAGAGTTTCAACTCTGTTATTTTCACGAGTAGTGGAAAGCCCAATTTTACAAGTAAATTCTCCGATGGATAGACAATGCAACACATACTTCCAGGCTTTCTAGACATGACACTAATTTCCCTCAATTCTGACAAATTCACAATCAAAAGTTGAGTAGCATCGTAAAGAAGAAAAATTGGGAATAAATATCTTATTAAAAATTTAATTAGCAAATGGTACTAAGAATGATAAGTTGCATAAAAAAAATAATACTCCTCCACTCCTTAATATAGTATCTAATTCTTGAGTTGATTTTGGTCTTAAATATAAGACCCATTTATTATATTTACCAATTTTCTCTAAATTACCCCTATAAATACTCCTTCAACCATAATCAAGTAGAAGAGGGAGATGGGATATTAAGAAAGATGATTCTGGTGTTTTAAAAAAAAAACGTGTCACATTTCTTATAATTAACTAACTTACCTAACTTTCTTAATCTAATCAAATTAGTTAAATAGATCTTATATTAAGAGTCGGAAGAGTAAATTACACATAATGAAAGTTAAATTGCACATAGAAAGAATAGATTGCTTACAAAAAAAGGCTTAGTAGCACAAATAGGTTTAGTTAATGTTCCAACTTAATCAAGAGATCAAGATGATCTGTAAAGCATGCTAAAATACTTCCAATCTTCCATTACATTTTAAAGCATCATATTCCTATAATCCTATCGTACATCAATTCATGTTCCAAATTTTATTGAAATTTCTCTGTCCAACATTTCCGACTTGATTGCTTTCCCCCCTTTAACGTTGCACTTTGCAATATATTAATCCATATAAAACATAAAAAAGCGTGTGAAGTTGTTGTGATAATATATTTATTTACTCCTATGAAATTTTCAAAACCAATTTAATTACTAAATCTAGTCTCTAATATAATATAAGTGACTAATTTAATTAAATTTTTTAATATCTGATACCGTAATTTTAAAAATATATTACTACATCAGAATGATGATATTAGACTTCTTTTTTATAGAGACCGGCAGGTGAAGCTTTATCATGTAAGCGGAAATGAGCTCACTTTTGCTGATAGATTAGCTAAATTTTCTCCTAAGTTAGAGGGTAGTTGGTGTCTCCTTGATCGACTATCACTTCTAGAGCAAGGGGCGAAGATTGATGAATGTGACTAAGGATTTTTTATTGTTTTCCTGATTGTTTAGTGTGTTTTTCAGTTTTTATTAAAAAAAAAAAAAGATGTACACTTTCAATTTCAATGCTGAGTAATGCGCACGACATGGAAGTCAAGATAATCGTTTGTATATTTACTTACGAAGTCCAAAACTACATACGTCCCTTATTTCCATTCATTAAAAAAAATTAGGGATTTTGCTCAGGAAAGTGATGTCTCTTCTTCTAATATGGTTGACATCCAAACGTGGTCCCTCTTGTGCTCTATCAAATCAATCATACACAAAGCGGCATCCATCATAGCCTGTCCACAACAAACAACTCTGTTAATTAATAAATAAAAACTGTGCTTTAATCTTTTATCTTTGTTTTAATCTTTCAAGTTTTATATTTTAGTCCCTTAAATATTTTTATTTATTTAAAACATTAGTCTCTATAATTTAATAAAACTATTTTATCCCTTGAGAAACCAAAACTTATAATTTAAAACTTCGAAGACTAAAAGGGTGTTTGGCTATTGCCAAAAGCACTTCCTAAAGGCACTTTTCTGAAAAACGAGATAAATTCCTTCACATATTTGTTTCGTAAACTGTGAAAGTATTTTTAAAACCATAGTTTGATTCCTATCCAAATACCCCCTTAAACTAAAATGAAAACAAATTTGAGAGAACAAAAATTATATTGACCCACATATATATATATATGTAATTATTCATTTTTGTTACTCACTAGGATCAACTGCAACTAGCATGGCTATCCCTCCAAAGTCGCATGATGCACCACTAGCCTTGCTTGCTTGCCAGTAGCTATTGAAAGCGTATGATGCATGCGCATATACAGAATCGGGTAAGAAGCATGGCCCATTGGGCTGTATTGGTCCACAATCCGCTCCGGACCAACACGCATAGTTCATTGCCTCTTGCATGATCGGGTCGGGAACTGAGGGCTTAGCCACACACCACAAGGCGGCAACTGGGGCAACATAGGGCGGCGGCGGCACAAACGGTGGTGGATAGATTACTGGTGGTTGAAATACTGTTGGGCTAGGAACGCCGCCACCTCCGGGGGACGGGAAAGAACTTGGCGGGGTGGGGAAACCACCACCAGGAGGGGACGGAAAAGTACTTGGCGGGCTGGGGAAACCGCCACCAGGAGGGGACGGAAAAGCACTCGGTGGGGTGGGGACACCGCCGCCGGTAGGGGAGGGGAAAGAACTTGGTGGGCTAGGGACGATGCCTCCACCGCCAGGGGAGGGTATTGGATATGGTGGGCTCATCCCTGGTGGGCCTGGATAAATTATGGGCGGGTTTATCACTGGCTCTGGGGAACCTGGGATAGTGGTAGGTGGGCTTGGAACAATTTCAGGTGGACCTGGAGGTGGGCTTTGAATTGGAGGAAGTGGTGAAGAGTAAGAATAAGGAGGCGATGGTGTGGGCAAGGATCCAGATGGGCTTTGAGGTGGGCCTTGGTCCGGAAGAGTTGGGCTGGGAACACCCGTAGAAGGAGGATTTGGAGGATACACACAGAACGGAGGCGTGCCATTATCCGGCGATGGAATTGGCGCGAGAGATTCGTATGGAGGCAGAGAAAACGGTGAGCTAAGGCTATAGGGTAATACATTTGATGAATCTGTGGATGGATCGAGACTAAAATGCTTAATGGCTTTCAATTTCTTAGAATGCTTGTTGCTTGAACTCTTGCGTTTACGCATTATTGATTTTTCTGCGTCTGCACAGGGGAAATCAAAGAGGTTTATGAACTTATCTTCGTCAGGTAAAATTTCTCTTGATCTCGATAATATCACAAAATGGAATTTTTAACATCTTCGTCTGCCACATTGCTCCATAACGCCTCTCACGCAGCAAATCAGCGTTGATTGTGTATGATCAGAATTACTAAAATGTATATTAAAACATGGGATGAAAGAAGTAGGATTAACTCTAATTAGTTCGGAAGAGAGTGATAAGAGAGGGCTTACTTACCACAATGAGAGGGGGAAATAGCTGCTAGAGTCAGATAAAGGAGAAGCAAGCCAGCTCGTAATCTCAAGTAACCTCTGCTTGTTCCCATGACCCACCCTCTTCACTCCTGACGACGGCTTTATTGTACCAATTTCAATCCAAATTCCGAAGACCAGAAGGTGGTACGATAAAGGGTGGGCTTTTATACATGTAGAGGTTGGTTAGATTTGAAGATTGTTCGAGTGAAGGACAAGTGAGGGTGATGGAATACAAGTGTTTCTGTTTGGGGGATAAAGAATGATTCTTTGGGCGGCACAACTTTGCTTTGCTGGAAGATGTATGAATGAAGAAATGCTAAAATTGCAGAAAAGTTGCCACAAATGTGTTCGTTTTCCAGGAATCAGTAGTTCACTCACCGTCTCCTCAGCAGTATTCTTTGTTCGCTAATTTCTTTAAAGCTCATTTCATGATGTTGATGGTATATATGCTTGCTTCGCCACTGGAAAAAGATGAGACTTGGGTTTTTTAAGCTCTTTTGTCTTGCTTGCTTTTCACTCCAATTTCTCTCTCCCCACTCTCTCTTGCCCTCCTTCTTATGAAGACACCAACGCCTCCTGGATAGTAGCGTGAAGAGGAGGGATTGCCTGGTCGACCAACTTTAGGAAAAGTATGTTATAGGCTACCATATATCAGTCTTGCATTACTTGTCCGCGTTTTAATTTTCTGATTTCAGAGTTGTATTGTTCACGCACTGGATGGAGCCTGCCTCTTGAAGTGTGTAATTCGAAACAGAGAAATCATAAAGCTTGAAGATGCCAAGCAAAGCAAGACACCCCAACTAGAGAAGAACTAATTCGAAACACAGCCCATTAACTCGGTCTCTTCCGTCTCAGGTATATATATAGAGTTGAGTTTGTAATTTCTACCTCTGTTAATTGGTGGGTATTGTTGATAGTGTCACAAATCTTATATACTGTTCGGAATGGATGAATCGCTAATGGAGTTGTATTTCTATCTGATATTTGATGGCCTCCCTGATATTTGTCTCAGATGTCCAACTTTCTCCCACCTCGTGAAGCCCATTAAGCTGCTACCCCTATTCAGAATTAGAAAAGTTTTTCCGAGGGATATGTTAAACAGTTTCTAATGCAAACTAATATAATACAATGTTGACTGTTAAATTATTCACACCCATTTTTTAGTCCAGCAGACAAATGGAGCAAAGAGCTTCGTTATGCTTGGGCCGTCAGGCGATCAATCTGCCCAAATAGGTGGAACTAAGTTTACATGAATAAGCAACTTTACATGAACGCTGGGGACTGAATAAGCAACTTCACATTATTGCTAGGAAACAAATGTAAATCATTCTTAACTGTCTTCGCTCTCCAGTACCATATAGTGACCATGAAAGTATTTAGAACACCACTCATACGAGTGTCTGTGTGTTTGTGTTTTCCTCTTTGAATGAGTGAATACTTTCTCCTCTAGACGTATAAGGACTCTTCTTCTTCTTATATACGGAAACTTCTTTTCAAAAAAACGGGGTTGCTCAGAGCCAAAAAAAATGGCTAATCTTCCCTCAGATGGTTGGAAGGCTATCCAAGATTTGGAGAGGAGCTGTGAGCTTGCCACCTAGCGTCCCCTTATGGCCACTTAACTGTCCACATATCAATTTATTGCCACGTCATCACTGACCTGACACCATTAATGCCATGTAAGCACTCTAGGGGTAGTTTTGTATAGAGCTAGTAATACGGGCTGGGCCCGCGGGCCCAGCCCGCCAGCCCGCCAAAAATGGCGGGCTCGGGTTGGCAAAATGCCAGCCCGCCAAGGTGCGGGCTACTCCATCCCGCACCGCTTTCAACCCGCTCCGCCGCGGGCTAGCCCGCTTTTTTTTTTTTTTTTTTTTTTTTTAAATTTTAAATTTTAATTTTTATATAATTTCTAATATGTTATACAATATAATTGGAGGATTTTAACTCCCAAATTTCATATTTACATCTTCTCATCCATGTAATTGCATATGTAATACATACATAAAAGATCTATTTAATTAATTTGGATAGAAAAAATAGTCAAATTAATTATTTAGAAAAAAATATGTGTTAGTTTTTTTAAAATATCTTCTCAAATTATAAATTAATTCTCACATTATTTTATTATAACTTATTACTCAAGTTTAAAACTCCAAGTCCAATTTAACATTACAAACTAAGCTCAAACTTATACAAATAATATTTTTTTTTAAAAAAAAAAAAGTTAGGCGGGCCGGCGGGCTAGCCCGCCAGCCCGCCTTGGCGGGCTCGGGCTGGCAAAATGCCAGCCCGCCAAAGTGCGGGCTACTTCAGCCCGCACCGCTTTTAGCCCGCACCGCTGCGGGCTGGCCCGTATCCGCACCGCCAGCCCGTATTCCCAGCTCTAGTTTTGTAAGTAGAGTTAATTTTAGGGCCCAGCTTTGGTAAACTGGAAAAGTTATAGGGAGTGCTTTACAAGCTTTTAAAGCACAAGGACATGCTTGAAGACGGGTATGCTCAAAATCACATGAAAACCCTTGAGCTTGTACTGTGGACAAAGCACAAAAACCCCTACTCAATGCTGAAAAATGGCATAATGAACTTGTGATCGCGAAAATATATATTTGTCGCTTTTACGTTTTATTTACATGTACGAAATTCTAACATTTGCATTTGCTGGCTAAAAAGCCAGTATTACAGATCATGTCTAAGGTTACAGAAAATTGAAAAAAAAAAAACACACGAACAACTTCTAAGCAGTACTGCATCTCATATAGTCTGTTACCTGAAGACCCTTGATCTTGAAATACGGACAAAACACAAACCCATACTCAATGCTGAAATATAATATTATTTAAAAGAATAGACAATGGAACGGGGGCTTTTTAGGTCAGAGGCTATTTCTGTTGAAAAAATGATAAAATGAAGACACGTTTGATTTTATAAATTTTCTTTACACAGGATAGAGGATCATGACAAGAAGAGACTCATGCCCAGTAGCATATATATTGTGGGGCCTCTCTGTTCCTACCTTCTTTTTCTCTGGTAGTAGACATTTTTATTTCCATTGACGCACAATCCACCAGGAGAATTCTGAGTTGTACACTGTTTAAGAATTGCATAATGATCAGAAAACGAATGGCAACAACTTAAGTTTTCCAGAGACAGCATATACTTATTCTTCTGCACTTGAAGTCTCCTGGTCTAGACTGTCAATTGCTGGGATGAAAAGGTGGAGGCGTGTGGCTATAAAGGGCCTGGATAACATAAAATAAAGAAGATCACGAGAGGTCTTTATGTGTTTTTTAAGGTCGGGGGGATGATGACAACCCTTGAATTGTGAATAGTTCTTTTGATGCTTTGACCCACAGAAGGATTTTGAAATGGGACCAGTGGACCCTTTTTCACCAGTTGTGGAATATAATCCTGCACCAAAGAAGGACAAGAACAAGGGAGGCCTCTCATGTATTTATGCCCAGCTCCTCTGCAACCTGAAAAGTCACTCAACTTGGGACACTAGTTTATGTCATCAATTTCATTATTATTCTATAATTTCATTTTAAAATCAAAACACATTAAATTTTCAATAAATGACAAAAAAGATCTTAATAATTAGATGCATTTGCTTAATTGTTGGAAGATTATTTGCAAATGATTATATGTTCAGTAATAAATTGTGGGAGATGAGGGTTGATTCCCTTTGACTATTTATATGTATTGGCTAAAACAATTTTTTTAATCTTTCATAATAAAGATGGAAACATTATGAAATTTTCATACATCAATGTTAAATTTTAGAAAATCAGTGCAAAATTTTTGCGTTTATATATATATATATATATGACTAAAATGAGTTATTTCTAATTTTTAATATTAAAAGTTGGAACATCAATTGCAAAATATGTGCAATTCTGTGTGAAATTTGGGAAGATTGTAAATATCAATTTTTAAAAAAAAATAACAAAATTATGATGAACTTTAAATGAGGTGCGGGCATAGAATAGTAAACTAATGTATATATTTTATCTAGGTCGCACCATACAAACAGAAATTTATTTAAAATATGGTGTGAGGATTAAGATTCCAAGGTCAAATTGGTGTAGGTATCATCAATTAAAGTAGTTCATTACAATGTTCTCTTGTTTGAATATCCAACAAATTGTTATTATTAGTGGCAAGCTCTCATTAGTCTGACCAATAAACACAACTTTACAGAGTTTACCTTCAACTTTTTCTCTTTTTCTCACTTAATCTCCAAGTTGAGTTAGCTAAACCATACGTATCTTCGTTCACATATGAAAGGAGCATATCATGATATGATATTTCAAAAAGAAATTATATTCCATTTGCTTTTAATTTGTTATGGTCAATAATGTTACTTTAAAAAAAATTTATGGTTTCAACTTGGAAATGGAAACTAATATGAATTTTATTGTTTATTACTAGAAAGACTTTGTGTATTTATGTGGAGTTTAAAATAAGCCCACAATTTTAATGGATGGTATTGCTTCCTTTAACTTCTGTTGATGAATCCAGGTTTAAATCTTTATTGAGAGAGGTACCTACATTTAGTGCTCGACAATGCTTCGAATATAATTGCCTTTGATATGAAGATTCACGTGCTTAACCAAAAAAAAAAAACTTTTATAGATGTAAATAGAAAGAATTATATTTTTTTGTTGTTATAAAAAAAGAATTATATTTTTTTGTGTGACATGCTTACATGATTATTTTTGTTGAATTTTGAATTAAAAAAATTATTTGTATAAATTTAATCAAATGCGCATTATAAGGTGGTAGGTTGACGTCCTTTCCAGTTGAAGTTATCTTTTTTTATATATATAGACACACATATATATATTGTGCAATATTTTCACCACTTGATGAATTAGTGGGTTGACCCATTCTTGTGCAATGTAAGATATTTTTGTTGAAATTTGACTTGAAAAATTGAATAGCTCCAACAAAATTATCCATAAACTTTTATTTCTGAACTTTTTTTAAAAAAATGAATTTAAGATTAAAAATTTGAGACAACAATACATGAAATTTAAAATCCGACCAACAAAGCACACAACTCAAGTCAAATAAGAGATTGTGATAATTTAATTAAAAATTTTAAATTCCAAGCCCTAAATATCCAAATTTATCAAACATTTGTTGGCAGAGCTTGCTACGTACCCCGATGTTTCCACTCGACTCTATTTGAATTTATTGGAGCTTGATATGCCTTTTGGACACCATGTGCAAATGCCAAGTAAAAAAATGGGAAAATTTCACTGTAGGACCACAGAAGACAACTAATCTCAAAGAGCCCCAAAACTTTCTGAAACCTCACTGCAGGACTAAGGGGCCAATCTGATATTAATTCCACAAATGAAATGACGCCACTGCCCCTAGTAGGAGGGAACAAGTGCGGGAGAGTGCATTTGCAATGAGAACTAGCCAATTTGCAGAATAAATACATATGTTCACACGTGGAATCAGTCCGTTCACATGTGGACTGGTTCACCTGATGCATGCGTTCGTGAGGGAACAAGTATGGGAGACGCATTTGCAAGGGGAACTAGCCAATTTGCAGATGAAATACATATATTCACATGTGAAATCAGTCCGTTCACATGTGGACTGGTTCACCTAATGCATGCGTCCGTGAAGGAACAAGTGCGGAAGAGCGCATTTGCAAGGGGAATTAGCCAATTTGCAGAATAAATACATATATTCACATGTGGAATCAGTTCGTTCACATGTGGACTGGTTCACCTGATGCATGCGTCCGTGAGGGAAAAAGTGCGGGAGAGCGTATTTGCAAGGGGAACTAGTCAATTTGCAGAATAAATACATATATTCACACGTGAAATCAGTCCGTTCACATGTGGACTGGTTCACCTGATGCTAAGGGTAGTGGCGTCATTTCGTTTGTGGAATTAATATCAGATTGGCCCCTTGGTCCTGCAGTGAGATTTCAGAAAGTTTTGGGGGCTCTTTGAGATTAATTGTCTTGTGCGGTCCTACAGTGAAATTTGCCCTAAAAAAATCCTTCACTCAATATGAATTTGGAGGGGTGCAGATTGAATTAAAAAAAAAAAAAATCTCCGACCTGCTTTTCTAATCTTATTTACAAGACACTATTAGCATGTTTTATCGAAATTAAGAAAAATATTAAATTTTATTGACTTTGTTTTGAAATTTAATATTCCTCTGATCCTTAATGTAAGACCTAATTAATTAATTTGAATAGATTAAATATGTTGGTTAAATTAGCTAATAAGATTTTTTCCCCTCAAATTCTTAATTGCCTTCCTTAATTCGCTTCCTCCCTCTCCAACTTGATTATTGTAGGAAAATATCAATAGGATTAATTTGAAAAAAAACTATAAGTCTTGCATACAAAACCAACATTTATTCTTAAATTAGATCCTATGTTAAGAACTAAAACTGAAAGAGTACTTTTTTATTTTTAATTCTTATTTAATTTATGTAGCTTTTGACAAAATAACAGTCTACAGACCAATACAATAAAGCTCAAATTGGATACTTATATGATAGAATGAACAAGACCACTTATATTATGGGATAAGAAAACCTTCTCCTTGCCTACCCTACCCCACCCCATAAAATAGGTGGACATGCCACGTAGGAAGATCATGTGGGTCGATGAAGCAGGTCAGGATTGTGGGTCAGCCCATCCCAGAGGAGGACATTGGTGTCCATAGAAAGTCCTTAGTGGAAGCTCCAATCTTTGAAACACTTTAGAGCCCTACCCAACGGCAGAGGTACCTTCCCCACTCACCATTTTTGTCCAAGAAGCAAAAATTTAAAAAAAATGTAAAAATTCATTTAATATTTAAAAAGTGATAGAGCAGTATGCTCATAACCCACAAAGTTATAAATTCAAATTCTACTATCGATGTGAAGACATTATTGATAAGCGATTTGTAAGTATTTCTGTAAGTACTTTTATAATCTAAAAGCATGCTCTATTTCTACTAAGTCTCACTACCCAATTCATCTGAACTTTTCTTATATATAAAAAAGAAAAAAGAAAAGTAACAAACACAGGTGCTTCCACCGCCTCCTAATGTTGATTCCACGCTTTCCCACTCACCATTTGCAGGTTTTTATGTGCTTAATTTTCAAAATTTATAAATAATTTTCTCCAAAAATTCAAAAGTTATGACCATAAAGTTCCAGGGACATATGCGATATACATGATCTAGAAACCCTTTCTTCCCCAAAAAAATTACAAAACTGTCTTAGCTAGCTAGAAAGTTATTGCCTTCTGCAGAATGTTAACTACTTCAACAACAAAAACAAAAACAAAAAAAAAAACTTGTGATGTTCAAGCCCAGATGGCTAGAGAAGACATGGAAGCTATGCCGAGAAGAAGAGAGAGATGAGCAGAAAGTTGAATCTTGGAGTTGGATTGAAGCTTAGGGTTCATGAAATCAGCAGCAAGAAGATCAACCAAAGCCATATATATGAGAATTCCTGCAGATGCAGAGTTGAAGACTCCTTCCACTATGAGAGCCGCTGGGGTGTTGCCTCTGTAAACTCCTGATATTCCCACTCCTATCGCTATCCCCATTGGCGTTGTCAGTGAGAAAAATATTGCCATTATTGCTGCCGATGTTGACTTGAATTTTGCCTGCACATACCCAAACATGTTATTACAACATTTCATTCCATGGAATCACTTTATGTACACATACACATATTTATATATAGAGTCACTTTATGCTTATTCAACAAATGTAAAGCTCCTCACTTTATATTCAAAAGCAGGTTCTTATTCCTTAATCACTGCTCTCTCTCTCTCTCTCTATATTAGTTGTGCAAGCATCATTCAAATTTTGTTATTCTTACAAAATCCTTTAAAATTTAGAAAATTTGACTGAAAAGTCCCCCATTTGTAAAGTTTATTACCTAGAGATAACTAAAGACCTAAATTTTTATATCACACATCTTCAACTGTGCACAATAAATATATATATATATATATATATATATATCTTTAGCTATATATGTGCAAATGTTCGTTTCACACATAGTTGAACATTGATTGCATACAACTAAAAAAAAATTGCACTACCGAAGATAGATTGCACCTAGGTGTCTTTAAATAAACCATTTTGTAATAAAAAATTTCAGCAATTCTTTCTAAACTTCAAAAAGAGGTGAAAATCTCAAGCTTTTTCATCAAGATCCCTTTCCACTATTGAGAAAGCATCCAAATGAAACTTTCTTTAGTCAAATTTTGTTCCTAATTACATATTACTTTCCTATTACCTTCAATCCTAAATCTAAGAGTTGGTTTGTAGTGCAAATTGCACTACAAACCAACTCTTATATTTAAGATTTGAGCAGTATTAAATATGAATTTGATGGGTTCATTATATTTTGGCCCATCAAAAAGATAAAATTTAATAATTATATATATAAATATACACACGCACACATATATACCTGGCAAATGCAGCCACCAAGACCCATGCCCTCAAAAAACTGATGAAATGAAAGTGCCACAAGAAGAGGCTTTATAGTTTGAACGCTTTGCGCAGCTCCCAGTGATATCCCAATGATCACAGAATGAACCACTATTCCTAACTCCAACACCTTCACTCACAAATAATTAACATCATCAGAACAATACAATTATGTATATGTATATATATAATCACACATAATAAACCAATTAACAAACATATAATATATACTGATCATCATAACTAATTTTTTAACTACCTGCGATATGATTCTGTGACGGATCACTTCAGCTGATGATGATGTTAGTAGTTCGACATCGTGAGATGATCCATGAGCATGGCCATGTGTGGCGTGGGTATGCACATGAACGTGACCAGCATTTTCATTTCCTGATTCTAATTCATCAGCATCTGTAGAAACTTGCTTTGAGCTGTTGAAATGTTGCTTCTTATAGTACCCTGTGGCGATTGAATCTGTCATTAGCGTCACCACCGAAGCCGCCATGGCGATGAGGCCGGTGAACGGGAATTTGGACCACGGGCCGTGCTTCAAGCACGGCGAAGTGAGAGTCTCGAAGGCGTCTGGTAATATATGAACGAACCCAGTTGCGAGGATCACGCCGGCGGCGAAAGCCTTCACCATGAAGAACACGTCGTTCTGGGGGTCGAGATATGGGACTTTCCGGCTCAGTAAAGGGAGGCTCACCCCAAGAGCACCGGCGACGAGGATGGAAGCGATAGAGACGACTTTGAATTTGAGAGTTTGGCTTGGTTTGTCCTTTTGGGTGGCCGCGTCTGGTTCTGCAACATCACACGTGCATTCACAGGAAGCCATTGCTGGGAGAAGGAGGAGGAGAAAGAGGAAGACGATGCAGTGATGAGTTTCAAAGTTTGGCATTTTTGTGATCGAGAGAGAAACTAAGGATGGTTGGCTTCTTTGAGATGAGCGTGTGAGGAAGATTTCGGAAGAGTGTTGTTATTTAAAAGGCCAAAAATTCTTGTGTTATGTCAAAAACATATTTTAAAATTACAGTTTCATTTAGTAACATGAGCTTAGAAAAATGCTTTTTAGCTCCAAGTAAATATGTAAAGAGAATTTTATTTTGTAAATTGTAAAATTAAAACGGATATTTTAAGATACTCTCAACTTCATAATGGGAAAAATGATAATTTAGTCACTGATAAAGAATTTGATGGTAACCAAAAAAACCATGTATGATGTAATTGTCTTCCATCCTGACGTCACTTTAAAGTTGTTTAATTTCTCTCATTTAAATGCTTAATAAAACATTAATTATTCGACGCCTTATTAATGAAGAATATATTTGAAAGCTCCTTTGTTTAAATCAAAATCACGATTTTGACGGAAGTAACATTTTGATATATTCTCCCAAACCCGTCATTAATTTGGTTTTGAGTCAGTTTTATTGTGTATCATCTTTTTTGACCAGCCATTTGTTTCTTTTGTAATATCTTTGTTTTTTTTTATGTTATCATCCAGTATCAAGTGCTTTTTTTATTCTATTAATAGGTATTCAAGTAATCAACCGATCCACTTGGCTGGGATCTAGAGTTCGATCATATATGGGTGTGGGTTAAATTTGATTAATTTGAAAAAAAAACTATGAATTATATGTATTTTATTTACCACGAAGACAGAATGTTATGTACACGACTAACGATATAAATATAAAGATATTGTAATATTAAAATACCTGTATATAATATTATTTTTTTATGTTATGTTCTGTCCCTCTTGGGACACACGATAAAATGAATCTTATATAATACTAATAAATATTATGATTTTTAATATAAGACCTATTTAATTAATTTGATTAGATTAAAAAATAGGTAAATTAGTTAATTATAAGAAATATGATTTTTTTAAAAACATCATAATCATCCTCCTTAATATCCTCTCTCCCTCTTCTACTTGATTATGGTTGAAGGAGTATCCGTAAGAGTAATTTAGGAAAAACTGATAAATATGATAAATAAGCTTTATATTTAGGATTAAAATCAACTCTACAATTAGTTCCTATATTAAGAACAGGAGGAGTACAAATTTTTTAATAGGATCAAATATGAATATAAATTTTTATATTTCATAGCATCCATGCTCATTATTAACCAATGGTTAGTGAGAGAAAACAAAAGGAAGAAGAAGAATAAAAATAATATATAAAATATTTAACAAAGGCCCGACGAAAGGCTAATAGGGTGTGAGAATCTTATGCAGCGAAGGACAACCACTGAAATTAAGGTAAAAGGTGAGATACACATACGGATTCATTAATTAAAAATTGTTGAACGGTACTGAGGACGGCATGTGATGTGTTGAAGAATGTTTAAAGCCTTTGAACACTAATTATTAAGAATAATAGTGATGAGTACCACTTCATAATCATAACCTAAACTTAGTTCATTGCCTAAATCTTTCTCTTTTAATTAAGGACCTATATGCATTGATGTGTCATAATAGTTGACAGCAATTTAAGTAATTAATATAGAGTAATTAATAGTCTAATAGAGGAATTTCTTAGAGCTAATGAAACCATTGGGGAATTTGGAACTCTTCATGGATTAAAGCTGTCAAAGCAAGTCAATTATTAAGGAGTTTCTTTAAATTGAACTTTGATCTCTATTAAAGTTGTCTAATTAAGGTAAAAGTAGTGTTTAACATGTTTAACTTCAATGTACTACTATAAATAATTGACTACTTACTTATAACATTTTGGTATGACTCATTTGACCCGCTAGCTAAATTGTCTATTGTCTCTAATCACCTCTCCACTTTATTTTATTTTTTAACTTTTAATTTGAGCTTTTCTTCATTGATTTCCTATTATTGTTCATCAAAATTTGATTTTTCACTTTCAATCTCCTACTAAAGTGGCTATGGCACTACTAAATTTGGCGTCAATTCATAATTGATGATTTATTTTGACATGTTAAACAGACAGATCCACTTAACCTATCTAATGAATCTGATTTAGTTTTCAACGTATCTAACCAATCAGTAAAAAAAGATTTGCTCTTTTAACTCATGATACCTTAAGCATGTGGCCTATAATGAGCAAATTGACTGGCTTTATAACTTTGTTCTACACCCATCAATATCAATGTAGCATAAGAAAATTGAATGCAATGACATTGCTATTTTACTATTTATGATATGATTACTAATTTAAACTTTTAGTTTGGACAAATACTTTATTGATTCAAATTGTATACATCTTTTTTCTAAATTTTATATCTTTCTACAAGTATAACAGTCCATGCCAGTTTAGTCATATATTTGCAATGTAACTCAATGTGAAATAGTGATGTTGATCCCCAAAGCCTACTATTCCCTCCAAGCCCTGTTTGTTTCTTGCATTGATTCCCTTCCCATTGTTAAAAACTTGATGGATTTAAATGAGTAGAATCCGGGATTCATCTGCAACTATATGATTCTCCGTATCCATTTATCAAAAACCTACTCTTCTATACATATGTACATTTTCTTTCTTCCTTTTCCCTTTTTTTGGGGCCTCCTACTGTGTATGTATGTGGGAGCGAGTCAATCGATGAGCGCAATATGCTGAGATTCATGAAGCAACGGAGGGAAAGAAAAGTAGAAAAGGTAAGAGGGAAGGAGGCAGTGGAAGAAACATGTCTTGCACACACAAAAGTTATCAACTTTGTGCAAATGAGGACAGGATGTTGTCATATGACCTTAATATATTCAAACTTAACCTCAAATTAGCAGCCTAAAGTGCCTTCATTTCCTCAACCTAACCTAACTATGTCGATATTATGTCCTCAATCTCACCTCATCATCTTTTCCATGGTGGAAACTTCAAATAAAAAGTGCCTAATAAAGTTATTGAGCCCATCAACTAATATTAATTAGTATATTTATAAATCCTACACACACACACACACACAAAGGTAACTGCAAAGCCGTCATCATATATCTGATTTCATCCAAATTAAAAATAAACAAAACCAACGGCAATTCTTTAGTAAATACAGTTTAATACTTTTCTAAAGTGACAATTATTAAGTTAATTGCTATCAACGTCCTTATCTAATGTCAATAAAGCAAGATACTATGATATCAACTCGTACCAGAGAATTTTCATGAACGGTATGTGATTAAAATAAAGCCTTTACCCCAAAAATTATACCTTGGACAGCCGATTAACTCCTTAAACGCTATATTTATGTTACATTTGAACACACATCACTCCTTGACAAGTAATTGGTCATATGAAAAAAGAACGAGTACGTTAAAAGAAATTCAACAAATTTAATTAGTATGCTTAGAATTCATGAATAGACTTTGGATTTCCGGTTCGGAACCTCTCCTCTTCTCCTTCCATCTCTTTCCTCCTCTTCTTTAATCATTCGCTTAATATTTTAACTGTCTAGATTTAAATTTTTTTAAAACTATTATTCAAATATTAAATTATAAAAATAAATAAATAATAAATTACAAACTATATTAAAATTTAATTCTAATAATTTTCAAATGTACTAAATATTTTTTAAAAAATTTTATAAGTAGTGTATAAAAAATTGAAATCTAAACCGTTGACATATATTAATCTAACGGTTTGAAAAAAGAAGAGGAGGAAAGAGGAGGGGAAAGGAAGAAGAGAGGCTCCGAACTGTTGGTTTTCTTTCATATTATGGATGAAAGCTGAAACTAGAGGATTTTGCCTGACCCTCGTGAAAGCAAGAAAACTATTTGGAACCAAAACCAAAGGAGAGTTGTACAAAGATGGTCCTAGCTAGCAAGGTAGATGAACACATGAACAGATTAAATTTGGCTTTATATGGATTTCTATGAGCATGTGGTTCAGAACAGGAATAGTGGTTGGGAGTAGGAGAAAAGGTTGAGGACACTTGAGGCTGACTTGAAACCGAAGAGCCACAACCTCTTCTGATGGTCCTATCCAATTTCATCATCACTTGTTTTTCTTTTTAAGCACATGTAATCCTTTATTAGAGGTAATCCTATTCGAACCATTGTCCTGTACTAAATGTGAACATTCTCCTAAATAGGAATTCAAACTTTAATTCGCCAAGTTGTAAGGAACTAGCCCCTTCTATTAGATTTATTAACCCTAGTTGGTCATCATCACTTATCGGACAATTGCCTTAAAGTAGTGTACATCATCAGACAGGGACTCTAACATTGAGCTTAAACAACAAGAAGTGGACTCTGACATAGGGGTTTGCATTGCTGACAAACACACAAATGCTGGCAACTAAACTTGGGCTGACAAGTCCCACAGGAAACTTCAGTGAAAGGCATGATACCCGTTTGACAAAGACAGCCATTGTGCTCATCATCCATATCCCATGAAGGAGTATGTTGCTTCGTCCAAGGACCATTCTAAATCATATACTGAAGATCAGCTCTGTGATGGAAATGCAAAACAAAATTATTATGGTAAGCCTGAACAATAGTCATCCATACTTGGAGCTTCCAGTGCAAATTTAAAAGGATCTTGAGCTGAGATGAATGCATCCTGTTTCTGTAGCAATCCCAGCACTAGAAGAGGCATCATCATCAGATGCATAAAAAGTAGGAGCAGAGTTTGAAAAACCCAATTTAGTTTATAATCAGAATGTTTGGCTTCTCCCATTTTATTTCTTCAATGAGTTGATCCTTGCTCAGATTTTGATCATACCTGTATATATTTAAGTCAAATACACATTCTGAAGTCAGAAAATTTTTACTCTTTTCTTGATAGAAAAAAGTTTAGGTGCCCGAAGGCACTATCTCATATACGCATATACTTTATACTTAGCCAGTCTATATATGTTGATGA